AGGGCGTTACATACGTACAGTCAAGTGGCTGGTTTGACCGATACCATGCCTCCATAAGGAGCCGTTTGGTAGTTGCGTTGGACCAACCCGGAGGCTAGAACGGGCCACGGCGGGCCTTATGGGGGTAACACTCCACACAAGAAATGATGAAAACGGAGGGACGCAAGGCGTGGCCGCATGGATAGCTGCGGACTCAGACACCAGCCCTCCGTGGCAGTTATCGTTTGCCAACTCCATGAGATCTGGGTCAGGTCCCCGATCCAGCCTCCGGTAGGCAGCTAAAGGTTAGAAAAAGTGCGATAGTGCAACACAAGTCGACTTTTACTTCAAACGAACGAATGCGTAAATCAACGTGCCTGCACTACCATGATGCGAAGCCCGCTCTTTTTGTCTCGTGGCTTTCAGACGTCTTTGCTGGTTTAACGCATTTTATTAGGCCCTTTTCTCAAGCCCCGGAGAACTAATTTACCACTTTATTAATGAACTACTAATAATATTGTAAGTAGCCCATTTGTTTTTAAAATGGTTTACTGCATACCTTGGATACGGTCATTATGGTAAAAACTGCCTTCCTCCTAGCCTCACTACGTTCTTTTTCTCAACGCCTTCTAGCACTGGCGCTGGACGCACTGGGGTCTTTATTGCACTCAGCATCCTGCTGGAAAGGATGCGTTGCGAGGGTGTCGTGGACCTCCTCCTCACCACCCGTCTTCTGCGGACGCAAAGGAACAACATGATCGAGAATGTCGACCAGTACGCCTTTTGTTATGCTGCCCTGCTGGAGTATTTGGCTTCCTTTGAACACTAACCCACCGCGCAGCCAAACTCCCGCCTGAACGCCTACAGCGTCGTTCGATGGTGAATTGCCAACACCCCCTTTCCTCAGGAGTGGCAATGAAATCCCCTAAATTACCTATCCGAAAGGCGCCATTTGTTTTTTTTGTTACTCTCATTCACAGCATAAGCAGCGTGAACAGGCTGCTGCTGCTGTGATCTGCTAGACCGACCAGCGCGGTCTCTCTAAAAATGTACACTGTGACCTCTCCTTCCTGTCCCCTCTCCACC